CATAAATGTGACCCTGCAGCACAAAAGCAGTGTTAAGTCGCTGGGGGATATTTGTAGCAATAGCCAACAATACATTGTATGGGTCACAATTATAGATTTCTCTTTTATGCCAAAAATCATTAGGATATTAAGTAAAGATCATGTTCCATGAAGATATTTTGTAAATTTCCTACCGTAAATATATCAAAACTTAATTTTTGATTAGTAATATGCATTGCTAAGAACTTAATTTTAACAACTTTAAAGATGATTTTCTCAATATTTAGATTTTTTTGCACCCTCAGATTCCAGATTTTCAAATAGTTGTATCTCAGCCAAATATTGTCCTATCCTAACAAACCATATATCAATGGAAAGCTTATTTATTCAGCTTTCAGATGATGTATAAATCTCAATTTTGAAAAATTGACACTTAAGACTGGTTTTGTGCTCCAGGGTCACATATAATTTTATAAGATTAATGTTCAAAACACTAAATATGTAATATACAAATAAAAAATGACATCGTGCATACACACACACACACACACACACACACACACACATATGTATACACATGTATAAAATTATATATGAAAGTAGGCGGCAACAAGTCACTGTCATTGAATCACTGACTCAACCAATTCATTAAAAATGCATTGTTGTTTAAAGACGCAAACATTCTGCTGTGACTCTGTTTAGAGCTATATTGTAGCAAAAACAGACAAATCTGACAATATTGTGTTTAAAATGTCGCTTAATATTAGTATTCTTCTGTTGAACACAAAAGAAGATATTTTGAAGAATGTTGGTAACCAAACAAGTGATGGTCTCCACTGATTTCCAAAGTATGATAAAAACACTATGGAAGTCAATGGCTACCGGCCAACATTCTTCAAAATATCTTCTTTTGTGTTCAGCAGAAGACAGAAACTCAAACTTGGAACAACTTGAGGGTGAGTAAATGAAGACAGAATTTTCATTTTTGGCTGAACTATGCTTTTAAACTTAGCGTAAATCTATTTATTTATTAATTATATTCCATTAGATAAAGCATGAAATAGTGATGATCTTAAAAGGAGGACAAATGAGCGTCTGGTTCAAGATGGATATGGTATTTAATAACCAGACTGACCAAAAAGCCTTCACCGCTCGCTCTCTTTTCTTTCGTCTTCATTCGTGGCCGTTCATGCCGCCTGCAAAGTGGAGGGCGTTTGATCCGAAGCGGCTTGAGTTCATATATAAATAGTTCCTTTGGGCCCCAAGCTCCACGCGGTCGAGGCTGTTTTGGCAGCGAACGCAGTCGTAGTCTGTGCTGGGAGAAGCGCGCTCTCCGCTTACCGCGGTAATTGGCTGATGAAGAGTCTCGGGCCCTAAAAAGAATGTCAGGGTTCGATTTCCCGAGATCCTGAGTGAGGATATGTCACCATTTACGCTGCTTTCGGGTGACACCGGCTCTTGGCAGAAACTCTGGGGAAATCATTACTGTGTTTATGTCGCACCGCGCTTCCCTTTGATATTTTCACAATGTTTTTCCACTGAGTGATGCTACCTCACCGGGGTCGGGGAGAACAAGTCCCTTTTGTAAATTTGTGACTGTATTTTAACGGGCAAAAGAGAAAAAGGCAGACAATTGGTGACGCGTAGCGGGAAGCCGCTGAGAGGCTTGAAGGGACGATCAATGCTTTCCAGCAGGTGTCTTCTCAGAGTAAAGAGACGCTTCTATTGATTTCTGAGGCCGCAGCCACATTTTTAGCCCGGATTGCTTCTGGCGTGCTGAATTTAGGCTTTTTATTCCACAGTCGTTTTGATTTGTTCACCGTGAATAATGTTTCAATTATATTTGCACTGCAAATGAAACTTTAATGACCGTGTGTTTTTATTCAGACGATTCTTCTGCTCATCAGAGGTGCATTTATTTGATCAAAAATACTGTAAAAATTTGAAATATTATTAGAATGTAAAACAGATGTTTTCTATGTGAATAGGTGTTAAACTGTAATGTATTTCTGTGATGCGCAGCTGTATTTTCAGCATCATTACTCCAGTCTATCTTTCTAATATGCTGATTTGCTGCTCAAGAAACATTTCTGATTATTATCAATGTTGAAAATAGTTGTGCTGCACAATATTTTAGTGGAAACCGTGACACACTACCATTCAAATGTTTGGGATATGAAAGATTAAAAATAAAAACACTTTTATTCATTAAGGATACATGAAATTGTTCAAAAGTGACACAAATGTTACAAAAGATTTCTGTTTCAAATAAATGCTGTTCTTTTGAGCTTTCTGTTCATCTGTGAATCCTGAAAAATAAAATGCATCACGGTTTCCACAAAAATATTAAAGTTTTCAACATTGATAATAATTTTGAAATTCTAATAATATTTCACATTTTTACTGTATTTTTGATCAAATAAATGCAGCTCTATTGAGCAGAATAGACTTTTGTCGGGACTCATGTGTAAAACCGCTGAAATTAAACATGAATCAAAATGAAAGTATTTGTTAACTGGCTCATATTAATGTGAGTGTCACTTCGAAGCAGAATAACAGTTCGGACGTCTGATCCGATCTGTCAGACACGTCTAATTGTAAAGACCTGCAGGACTCTGGGTAATAATCGTCAGAGTTAGGGTTAGACATGTCATTACAGGGACGAAACTGAGAGGAGATCTGTAAACGATTCGCTTGTCAGCAGAGAGACTTTAGTGCTCAAACGCCCTCTGGAATCAATATGCAACGCTGGCAATATTATATAAAAAAGCCACGTTAGAGGAGGATGCATTTGATAATTGGTAATCATCTGATGAGCAGTGTTTTTTTCGGTCGTCTGTGATGATCTAATAGACACAGAGCAGTGTGAAACAGGAGTTTCTGAGCTCTGCCTCTATCAGGGGCAGTTTAAGATGCTTTCTGCCGGGCTGATTTGTCTGCTCTTGACCTTTCCAGCAAACTGTCCCATCATGCAGCAGGAGCGCTCCTGAGGGACTCCCGCTCTGCTGATAATGAAGCCTGTCATCTCCGCTCACCTCCACGCCGGACACACTTCCAGCTCCTCCATCGATTCGCTGCTATTCTCCAAAGCGGCTCCCAGAGCTCCTCAGAGCTGCACTTGTTGGTTGGAGATGTTGTAAGAGGTCACGGTGGAGACGTCAGTGTCTGCAAGATCTGTGAGTTTGTGCTTTATTTAACCTCACACTGTCTGAGTAAAACATCGGGGTTCAGCTGAAACAGCGACGTCTGATTACTCATTTAGATCTAGTTAAAAAAACAAAACGGGGTTTCTGCAGGTCTTAAAAAGCTCTTAAATCAGAGCAGAAAGTCACGGCGTTAAATGATGCATTTATTACAAAAAATTAATTTCTTCCTCAGTATTTTTGTCTTGTTTTCCAATACAAATATATATATTTTTTTTTTACTTAAAATAAAATAAAATATAGAAATTACTTTATTTAGCCTACTTGCCAAGGCAACATTTCCCATTCATAACAAACTTTTACAAAAAATTTTTTTTTTTTATAAAATCGATTCCCCATATTAAAAAAATAAAATAAAATAAAATAAAAAATGTATCTGACAAAACAATAAAATTACTTAAACTTTAAAATTTACATAAAAAATTCTTTCAAATTATAAAAATAAAAACTAATTTATAATATTAACAGAAACTAACAGTTTCTCAATACTAAAATAACTGGTTGGAAGTTAAAAAATGTTCATCTTTAAAGTGTTGCTCATTGTGTAGATATTTATAGAAATTACTTTATTTAGCCTACTTGCCAAGGCAACATTTCCCATTCATAACTCAAACTTTTACAAAAAAACAAATTAAAAAAATTAAATCTATTCCCCATATTAAAAAAAAAAAAAAACAAATACAACTGACAAAACAATAAAATGACTAAAACTTTAAAATGATAATATAAAAATAAAAACTCATTTAAAATATTAACAAAAACGAACAGTTTCTCAATACTAAAATAACTGGTTGGAAGTTAAAACATTTTAATCTTTAAAGTGTTGCTCATTGTGTAGATATTTACATTTAGAGAACATATTGACATATTTATCGTGTTCCCTTTAATTTATTCCTTGAATTTTCTTAATTGTTCTTACAAATGTCTTACATTTACCTTCATAAACCCTGCAAAATAAAGGTTTGCGCCTATCAGAAAACAAATTCCCATTCTCATTACTGTAATGCTGATTAATGGAAACACTTTACAGTAAGGTTACATTAGTTAACATGAGCTAACAATGAACAAGAACAAACTCTGATGTTTTTGCACAGAAATAAAGAATGGAAAACACATTCAGGAGAAGAGTATTTTATTCTGAGACAGCAGCATTATTGATCATAAAGTCAACATGAAATCCAAACCTATTTATGCTCTTATGGTTCTACTCTTATTGTGAATGAAGCGCTTTTCATCATTGCTCAGTGAATATTTTGTTTCATTCTGAAATACATCATAATACAGAGGCTGAAAACTGATTTGTGTTTAGCAAAGCCATAACTAATTTAAATGATATGGTTGATTATGAAACTTTCTTTTTAGACAGTAAATACATACAATTAATTATTGAAATCTATTAAAACAGTATGTCATGAAAACGCTAGGATCTAATAAGTGGTTGATTTAGTTGTTAAATGTGTCTCTGCAGCACAAAAGCAGTGTTAAGTCGCTGGGGTATATTTGTAGCAATAGCCAACAATACATTGTATGGGTCAAAATTATACATTTTTCTTTTATGCCAAAAATCATTAGGATATTAAGTAAAGATCATGTTCCATGAAGATATTTTGTAAATCACCTACCGTAAATATATCAAAACTTAATTTTTGATTAGTAATATGCATTGCTAAGCATTAATTTGAACAACTTTAAAGATGATTTTCTCAATATTTAGATTTTTTTGCACCCTCAGATTCCAGATTTTCAAATATTGTCCTATCCTAACAAACCATACATCAATGGAAAGATGATTTATTCAGCTTTCAGCTGATGCATAAATCTCAATTTCACAAAATTGACCCTTATGACTGGTTTTGTGCTCCAGGGTCACAAATATGAATGCAAAACAAGGTCAAAATGAACCATATTTACATCTTTTCTTAAAATAAAAGACTATTATTCTAATAGCTTATTTGTGTTTCTACATGTCATAATTCAAATAGTCGAGATTTCAAACTAATTTCAATATGTGTGTTTTATGGCACTCAGAGGATCGTAATAAACGCGTGTGTCGTTGATTTCTGCAGTAAACCGTCCTACAGCATGATAAAGAGTGTGAAACATACACACATATGATCGTGTGATTTCTCCGTAGAAAAAGTGCCTGCATAGTAAGAGAAGAATCGAATGATGATACGATGGAGGAAGCAGTCGCAGCACAACTCAACCGTCACGATATGAACACATGAAGACAGAAATCTGACGTTCACCATCCCTCCACTTCCACAACAAAGGGCTCTTTGAGCTTGATCTTGCCGCTGTTGACGATCACACACTCGGTGTAGGGCAGGTTACGATCGTTCGTGTCCTGGAGCTCGATGGTGTGAACCACAGCCTGAAACACAGAAATGCAGAATACAGCTGCTTTAGACGTTTGTGCCAAACCTGATGAACTTGCTATTGAAGTCAAGTCACCTTTATTTCTACAGCGCTTTATACAATACAGATTTACAGTCCTAGACAAGAAAACAGTGATTCAGTGAAGCAAGCAGAATTCAATTCTGCTGTAAAAAGACTCTTATTCCTCGGCTGGGATCGTGTAGAGCTCTTTGAAGCTGCGCTGAAGCTGCACTTTGTACCTTAAACCCGATGATCCCCATTGAAGTCCATTATATGGAGAAAAATCCTGGAATCATGTTTTCCTCAAAAACCTTAATTTCTTTGTGACTGAAGACAGAAAGACATGAACATCTTGGATAACATGGGGCGAGTAAATTATCAGGAGATGTGTATACTGGAAGTGAGCTAATGCTTTAACTACTAAATATTGAACTATTAAAATTTTAATCAGCACTGAAAGCAAACCGAGTCAAATATTGACACTTGTGCATTTTTAGAGCAGCTCAAATTCTATTCATTTCATAACTGGAGAACTTTGAGTAAAAAATAATGACTATAATACATTTTTATCATGATTTAGTGAAGTCGTCCTCTAAAATGTCTTTCAGTGTGACAATTCATACAACAAAAAATCTTATTTATATATTTAGAACCAGAATCATTAATGAGATTAAAAGACTATTTAATGATCACAGATCAACCCCAATCTTTCCTTCAAACCACTAGGTTTGACCCATTTGTCAGCAAGAAGCTTTTAATCACTTAATATATTCTAAGATTTAGTATGATTGCTTATTCGTTTATATAAGTACAGGTCAGAATAAGTATGTTGTTTCATTTTATAGAAACATATCTGTTATGCTGAATGATTATTTAACCCATTTTTTTGCCATTTTATTTTCACAAAAGTTATTTGAAGCAGACACTTGACTGGCATTAATATTACATTTTTAGTGCTGTCAAATCGATTAATCGCGATTAATTGCATCCAAAATAAAAGTTTCTGTTTACATAATATATGTGTGTGTACTGTGTATATTTATATACTTAAATGTAAGAAATATTTACGTGTATATATTCATAATTATATATATATTACATTTAGTTCTTAAATATGTACATGTATGTGTGTGTATTTATATATTATGTAATCACAACTTTTATTTTGGGTGTGATTAATCGCGATTAATCGATTTCACAGCACTATTAATTTTATATAAAATCACTTTTGCAAATGTAATTTGATGCGGTCACCAGAATGGGACGTCTCGTCTTTGACCCGTATGCAGTAGGTTTAGTGATATTTAATAATATTTATGGCTTGAATAAACCAGTTCGATGTTCCCATTGTCTCAGTGTATGGTGAAGCTGCTTTGAAACATTCTGTACTCTATAAAGCGCTACAGAAATAAATCTGACTGTAGGTTTTCTAGTCTTTGCATGTGTAGTAGGAGACAGACGTGTGTTTTTCTCATACCATCCCCTCCAGGACTTTGCCAAACACCACGTGTTTTCCGTCCAGCCACGGCGCTCTGGCTAAAGTAATGAAGAACTGCGAGCCGTTGGTGTCGGGTCCGGCGTTCGCCATGCTGACCCAACCTGCGCCCAGATGCTTGAGCCTGAAGCTCTCATCTGCAAACGTGCTTCCGTAGATGCTTTTACCTGAAGGACACAAGACCTGAGCATCAGAGTCTCTGCAGGAGAGGAGACTGTACTTACTACAGTTCTGTGTGAGGAATTATTCTCTCATAATCTTCCGCACCTCTCAAATCTGCAGGTTTGACATCATTTTGAGTGAGTACTGGCTTAAGTTTGGACCAGTTCCTCTCACAGGAGTCATACGGACGACTGATGGCATGCTTTCTATAAATACTTTACTACATTTACTAAATATTTGCTAAAATGTTCTTCATATAAGTCTGCTTTCTTTCTAGATGTGTCATCAAGGTGCAAATGATAATTTTACTGCCTGTCCCAATGCTTCAGTTCATATAAACCAGTGTTATTTTAGTATCATTGAAATACTTAGCTAAAGATGCTAATCATGTTATCAACATGCTAACAACATGATAATCACGCTAGCAACATGCAAATCATGCGAACAATATGACAATCGTGTTAGAAACATGCTAGCAACATGCTAATCACACTAGCAACATGCTAACAACATGCTACTCATGCTCGAAACATGTTAACATGCTAATCATGCGAACAATATGATAATCGTGTCAGAAACATGCTAGTAAAATGTTAACAACATGCTAATCATGCTAGCAACATGCTAACAACATGCTAATCATGCTAGAAACATGCTAACAACATGTTAATCATGTTAACAATATTATAATCGTGTTAGAAACATGCTACCAACAAGCTAACAACATGCTAATCATGCTAGCAAAATGCTAACAACATGCTATTCATGCTAGAAACATGCTAGCAACATGATAACAACATGTCAATCATGCTAACAAATAGATAGATAAAGTGGAATGTTAAGTAATGATTACTGTATTTTGAAATAGTGTATGTATGTGCATTTGTGTATTGTATTTTATTATTATTATTATTATTATTATTTTTCCTTTCTAAATAAACATTGGTAAATGCTATTTCATTATCTTTATATCTATTTTGTATCTGTACATGTTACTTTATTTTATAATTTATTATTATTTTCAGTGTTATTTTTCTTTTTGATAAATGTAGGGGTGGGAAAGTATACTGTGTAATATATAATTTAATATTCTGTAGTGTTCATGGGGATTTTGTAACAAAACTAATAAAAACAATGTTGAGAAAAAATCATGCTAACAACACGCTAATCATGCTAAAAACATGTTAACATCATGTTAAAAACATGCAACAACTTGTTAACAATGAATTAAATAATGCTAGCAACATGTTATGAAGTTAAAACTTCAAGCTTTTACAAATGCTTCAAACTTTCACGCTAGGTTTTCTCAGGCCAACCTAAAGTTTGACTTGACAAACTTTTTTTATCTAGTCATTTATAATATATATATGCAAAAAAAATGTTCTTCATATAAGTCTGCTTTCTTTCTAGATGTGTCATCAAGGTGCAAATGACAATTTTACTGCCTGACCCAATGCTTCAGTTCATATAAACCAGTGTTATTTTAGTATCACTGATATACTATTGTAGTTTTTTTTTTAATATTTGGAATTTTAAAAAAATATTTTTTTGTTTACATTTTTTTGTTCTGTATTGATTTTTTTTTTTAGTTTTAGCAATTTTGTGCTTTTTATTAGTTTTTTAATATATCTATACAGTTTTTTTTGTTTATTTATTAGTTTTAGTTTATTTAGTTTTAGTTATTTTAGTATTTCAAGTTTTGTTGTTTTTTAGTTAGGTTTAGTTTTTAGCAATTTTGTGTTTCTGTATATATATATATATATATATATATATAGTGTATCGAGTTTGTTTTTTTAGTACTTGAAGTTAATCTAAATGAAAATAAGAATTTTTTTATTTAAAGTTTTAGAAAGTTTGTGTTCCCGTCTTTTGTTAGTTTTTTTTTTTAAATATGTTGATACCGGCATATCCCTAACTGAGAGATAATGTACAGTCAGCCAGCCATTAATGCATATAACCCCAGAGAGGGCGATCAGGACCCCAGCACACACATTATCCTGCTTTTTCTCTGCTTCTTAACAAATATGCATAGACATGAAATACTGATTTTTGAGTTATCACATGGAGTAACTTTGTGATTTAGTTTTTTTTTTTTTTTTTTACATTTTTGTACTTAATGTAAATGAGAAATTTTGCCTTGGTAACTAGCTGAAATAATATAAGTTCTTTTATATTTTAATTTATTTCAGTTAATGTTTATTTCATGTAAATATTTTATTTTAGTTTTAGTTAATTATAATAACCCTGTTATAAACAGAACCTTCAAAATCTGAAATCGGATTGATTCATTCCGACTGACAACAATGAGTGCGTGTAATCATACCTACTGTCAGTCATCTATTACATTTGTACATTTTAAACAAAGTAACATGAACATTTTTTGTGTTCCAGAGAAGAAAGGAAGTCATACGGCTTAGGACCAACATGAGGAAGAGTAAATCAGCTAATTCTCTTTCTGCTGTGGAAGTAACTCGTCCTCACCTCCTGTTCCGTCTCCAGCGGTGAAATCTCCTCCTTGGATCATGAAATCCTTGATAACCCGATGGAACTTGCTGCCTTTGTACCCGTAACCCTTCTGAAGAGAGGACCTGCGGTCAGTTATTGAAAGAGCAGCATGCTGATGTGTGGATTCCTGTGTTTTCAGATGTGTGTCGTGTGTATGGTGAGTTTTACCTCTCCTGTGGCAAGAGCCACAAAGTTCTGCACGGTCAGCGGAGCGACCTCTCCGAACAAACCGATCACGATCCTGCCAACCTCGTGTCCTCCGACGGTGATGTCAAAAAACACCTGCAGCACAAACCAGCTCTTTCACAACTCACCGCCAAAGATCACAGATGAGCACGCTGTATGCCTGTGTAACACTAATATATTTATTATTTATTAAAGCAGTAAGCCCCAAGAAGCCGTGGTTTACAGTGAATTTATAACAGATAAGGGGCGCTGTTCGGTATGATACGAACCCACTTACCTGTTATAAATTCACTGTAAACCACGGCTTCACGGGGCTTATTGTTGCTTTTATAAAATGGTTATTCCATATACGTAACGTAAGGTTTCACAAAATAAAACGGAGCAAATAAAGTGTAATGATATTAATAAAAACAGTATTCTTCCACCAAACAATGTAGCTCCTCAGAAACAGTTGTGGTTGCTACAAAGTGGTTGCCGAGCAACACACAAACGTAAACAAAGGTGTATGTTACTTTGTAGAGTAATTTACAACAGCTTCGAACGCGGCTCAGCCAATCAGAATCAAGCACCGGAACTCTCCGTTTTATAATAATATATCTATACTAATAGTAAATAATTAAATAATATATTAATTAGGTTGGCTTGAGAAAGTGTGCTTTCACTTAGTGTGCTTGCTCTTTTCTAACTGATCGGACTTACGGTTTTCATAAAAATGAAGATTAAAAATCATAAAAATCCCATAGTCTATCTATCTATCTATCTATCTATCTATCTATGACTAGCCAAGCCTAGAAACTAGCCTAGGACATGCTATCAATGCACTAATTCATTCTAGCAACATGCTAATAATGCTAACAATGTGTTAACAATGCTATCAACGTGCAAAATCATGTTAAAACATGTTAGTAGTGTGTTACATAATGCTAACGTGTTAAAACTTGATAGCAACATGTTAAATAATGTTAAATCATGCTAGAAACAGGCTAGCAAAATGCTAATTATGTTAGAAACATGTTAGCAACATGCTAGCGATGTGCTAATCATGCTAACAACATGCCAATCATGCTAGAAGCAAGCTAGCAACATGCTAGTCGTGCTAAATACTAATCATGTAGAAACATGCTAACAGCATGCTAGTCATGTTATAACCATTCTAATGACATGCTGGAAACATGCTAATCATGTTAACAATATGTTAATCTTGTTAGAAACATTCTAGCAACATGCTAGCTAAAAACATACTAGCAACATGCTAGTCATACTAGAAATATGCTCGCAACATGCTAACAACATGTTAACAACATGCTAATCATGCTAAAACATGTTAATCATGCTAACAATATGCTAATCATGCTAAAATATGTTAACATGTTAATCGTGTTAAAAACATGCAACAACTTGTTTAATCATGTTATCAATTAAATAATGCTAGCAACATGTTATCAACATCTATCTAAATGTTCAAACTTCAAGCTTTTACAACTGCCTCAAACTTTCAGTCTAGGTTTCCTCAGGCCAACCTAAAGTTTGTATTGACAAACTTTTTTTATCTAGTTATTTATAATATTATATATATATGCAAATATGCAAAAAAAAACGTGCATAGACAATAAAAAAAAACTGTAAAAAGTGTATTATACTATTATAAGTAACATAATCCGCTCGTTCGGTCATGGTGCTGCATTGCTGTGTGTTTCTGTAAAGCTTCATACAGTATGTGACGCAGTCCAGGAATGAAGCGTCGCGTCGCGTCAAGGCGAGATGGAATGAACAGAAGCATTTACGGACACGCATGCGCACGATCTGTCAACGTTTAAAAGACAAAAACAATCTACCGCTACGCCGCAGGTTTACTTCATGTAGATGTGGATGCAAGGTCGTTGTGCAGCGATGAACGCGACGCGTCCGCGCCGGTTCGCAGAAAATGATGCAGGACGCGCGTCTCACCTTGTCCGTCACTCGCGGTCCCGTCCGCGTTTTAAAATCAATGGCGCTTCCCAAAAACGGCAAATAGAGGAGAGCAAACGCGCGCCAGAGGCGATGTGGGCACATCTCTGGATATGATGCGAGCGCGGATTTGACTGAAGAGAGTCAGTGGATTCCGTGACGCGCGCGTCTTCCTGTATGACGCTCCGCCTCCCGCGCGCGTCACGGTCTGAGGAATCTATTAAAAACCCTGTGCTACGTGTACACATATTAATCTACAATCAGAGTAACTAGTAAGTTACATGTAACGGCGTTGCGTAGTTTGAAATAAATGCAACTGTAATCAGTTACAGTTACTGAGAAAAAAACTGTAATTAAATTACAGTTACTTATGAAAGTGTTAACGATTAAAAAGGGGGTTACATTTGAATATTTACAGGCGTCCACATTCAGATTTAATTGATTTCTTTCCCAAATTGCACTGACTACTCTAAAATATGAGACA